TATTATGTTTCATAAGGGATGACAAATGCTCGCCGCCATGTCTATGGCTGTCTATCCATGCAAACATATGGAGATGGATGGCTTCTTCTCACCTCACTACCAACCAGATCCAGAACCTGGGCAGACAGCTAGAGAAGACTGTAGAGTCAATCCTGCACTATCCATGCTTCATAAAAGATGAATATAAATGCATTAGTTAGACACGGTGAGCTAAATTAGAAGGTCAGGCAGGGCTGGGAGGGCTGAAAAATCACACAACCAATGAGTGTAATTACTCTTTCTTAAGTCTATTAAGTGGTGTTGTTCTATCAAGGCTCTGGGGTATAGGACACGAAGAACAAGATAAAGTAATGTGTATTTATGACTCCCACTGGATCAATTTACCAGATATTTTCAGCTCCATAAAGCAAAATACACAAATGTGGCCTTTGTTGCTTTCCCCAAATTGCTCGATTTTCTCTAGAAGGGAGACTGGATCTCATAATCAAACAGTGGTAGCCTGGTAGAGATTTCCAAACCCGTCCTTATCCATAGAGAAAGGAGGAAAAGCTCCTGAGCATCTGCGGGGCATGGGCAGAAGATATTGCTGAGGAAGAGAAGGTAGAAAGTAATTGCCTTCAGGCAGAAGTATTTGAGTGACCAGATACGAAAAACGGTGGAAGTTTAACATAGACACGGGGAGGGTTTTGAACTCATGAACCTGAGTTCAAGTTTGAGCTTTCTCACTTCCTGGTTCTGATGTCATAGAAAGTCAGCAGACAGACCTCCTTGTGGAGGGGGGGATATGGCTCAGCCTAAATGCCTCTTCTGTGGATTATGGGATGTGTGTCATGTAGAGATTAGTGTCCCCACTTAATGGACTCTCCCCAGTTGCCTGGAACTTCTCTCTGTATGCTTCCCCTCCTTAGTTCCTAGGAGCACTGGGAAACAGCTGCTCCACAGAGGAGGAACCTGAGGCTGCAGACATGAAGTCCGTGCAAGCACCAAGTCTTCGGTGTGCTTTCCAAACTCCTCGTGTATCTGGCTTGCGCACTGGCTCGCTTGGCCGCTCTGCTCTGCAGCAGACGCCATCAAGCAGCGCTAGACATGCAATAGGCGTGAAGCAAACACAATCCTGGCTTCCCAAAATTTGCAGCCAGTGTGTATGGAATGCCGGCTAGACTCGAGCATTGAACGAAATGCTTGAACTGCCTGTGGGCTGAAGTTTAAAGGCTGTTTAGGAAGACAAGGAGCAAACTACAAAGGAAAGGAGATGATGCCTTTGGCATTCAATGCTGAGAGAATCCTTGCTCAAAGTTTCTGTGTGGCATCACCAAGGCAATTAGCATCTCAGCTTCTGATTGGCCACAGTCCTCATCCCTCTCACTTCCCATTACAAGAAGTCAACCTAGACCCCAAAGTCACATTTCTCCTGCAGGACCCAGAAAACAAAGTTCGTTTATCAGTAAAACAGGCCAGAATACTTTAAAGACCTTGGCCTGCTCAGCTCCGTGTGCTTATGGAAGAAATGAAACTCCTAAATATGGAGGGTTAGCCTAACTCTAGTGTCTCTCAGAGATGAAATAACTTACAGAGAGTCGTCTGCTCGCTCCTCCTTTCCTGTTTGGTAAATGGGGAAGATAAAGAGAAAAATGTCTATTTTCCCAACTGCTTTCAGAAGAGGGGATCCAGTAAAACAAAGCAAGTCCAGGTGCTTTGAAAAAGTGCAAGGCTGTATACAAAGGCATATTATTACGGAGAGTCGTCTGCGTGGTCTTTGGAGCAAGTTTCATTTGACAGAATATGTGGGTGGTTGTATGAATCTAGCTTTGTCTATTCCCAAACACATGGATTTAATAAAGCGGCGTTTGTTTTTTAAGGTGTGTGGTCCGCAGTTCACTGAAACACCCCTGTTTGACAAATACTGACCATGAGTCTGAGAAAGGCGGGGCCCCATGCTAAGGCCCTAACAATGGACAGTAGGGGTATAAATCTCGCTCAAGTCCACAGGAATACCTCGTGCTGGCTCCATCCGCCACTTCCTGACCCTGCCCTTGAACTCTCTTGCTCCACCTTAACGTGCAGAGCCAAGAGGACAGCCGTTCTGCTCTGAGTCCAGGGACAGCTTCCTGGGGTGGGCTCCTCTGGCCACAGTCCTTACACAGTTGAAGTGCTTGGAAGCAAGCTGCAGTGTTTCCTTAACACACACATGTCCATTGTGTCCTTGATTGCTCCTCCCGAATCCAGGAAGAAAGGGCTGAGTGGTTTACCTAAGGGCCTCCAGGGACAAAGCGACATGTGCCTGGGCTAACTATAAAACATTTTTAAATCTAACGCACAACTATAAAAATGTTTTTAGGTGTAAGTTAACAAAAACTCACTTTTATATTCTGATACCTCTGTTTTTTTTAAGAGAGAGAGAGAGAGAGAGAGAGAGAGAGAGAGAGAGAAAAGCAAAAATACTTCCTAGCTTCTTTAGACCTCAACATTTAACCAGACTTTCATCCTTATATGATTCTATTATCCCACTATTGTAGATGAAGAAACTGAGGCACAGAGGATAAAGCATAGATTCACTTTTTCAGGGAATGGGGCTTTTCTGCTCCTGCTTTTATTCAACTGACACATAACCAGGGTTACCTTCTGTCAGGAGCTAAGTAAGTAGCCAGAGTAACAACCTAGCAAAGCAGAAAGAATCACCACTCCCATTTGACAGATGGGGAAACTGAGCCAAGGAAAGGGAAGGAAGGCTTTTGACACAGGTCACTGACTAACAAGTGATGGAGGACTTAATCCTACATGGCCCAATCTGAACTTCCAGGCTGTGCTCTGAACCCCGAAGACCCCAGAGATAAAATGCTGACCTAAAATCTCAATGAAAATAAAGTCACTGCCTACATGGATTCAGCAGAAAAAGTTGTCATTGTGCCTGTGTCTCAGTTCCATCACACTAAGGCAACAACACAGCTCTCTGTGTGGGCACAGGTCAAGTCTATCATTATTTATAACTTATTGATGGGCACACATCATGTCTACCATTGTTTATAACTTATCAGTGGGCACACATCATGTCTACCATTGTTCATAACTTATCAGTGGCACACATCATGTCTACCATTGTTTATAACTTACCACTGGGCACACTTTGTGTCCACCATTGTTTAAAACTAATCGGTGGGCACACATCATGTCTACCATTGTTTATAACTTATCAGTGGGCACACTTTGTGTCCAACATTGTTTAAAACTTATCAATGGGCACACAACATGTCTGTCATTGTTCATAACTTATCAGTGGGCACACATCATGTCTACCATTGTTTATAACTTACCACTGGGCACACTTTGTGTCCACCACTGTTTAAAACTAATCGGTGGGCACACATCATGTCTACCATTGTTTATAACTTATCGGTGGGTACCCATTGTGTTTACCACTGTTTGTAACTTACCAATGGGCACACATCATGTCCACCATTGTCTATAACTTATCAGAGTATTTCACAGGAAATTCACAGACGCTACATTCCTGCTGAACAGAGGGACCTAAATTTCAACTTTTCCACAGAACACCTATGTCCTGAAAGACACAGCTGCCCATTGTTCCAATTGACTGTTTCATAGTTCACCAAGAATAAAAGAGGATAGAGGAAACAATGCAGGACCCCCTTTCAAGAGAGAAATGCAAACACAATGACACATCATATTATTCCTTCCCCAGATGAAGTGCTTTTCAGGATGGTCTATCAGTATGAACAACACTTCAGTAGAAGTAGGGCTGTTCTAAGGAACTGGAAGCTCTGTTCTTCCCTGGAGGTCAAAGTAGAAGACAGGCATGCCTGTCACAATCTATCCTCTCTTCGGCATTGGTGGGTATCACACCCACTCACCCTGTTCCTCATATCCATGCACAGGCCCAGGAGACAACAGTATGACAGATGGAACCTCCTCTGACAGGAGGATCTGCCTACAAGTACAGCCCTATACAGGAAGAATTTGACCATGTACCTGCCCCTTGAAGAGGTCCTGGGCCAAGAAGGATGCAATAGTTGTTTTTAAAATTCTTTCTTGGGGATATACAGATCTAGACACTACACATTTGGCTGTAGGGAGGAGAGGACCTCTCATCCATTCATTTAAGGTGATGCTATCAAACCATGCCATAAATTAAACAAGGTTTTCCTGTCAATTAACCATGACAGCTAACCTGACTCTGTCCTCTGAACCTATTTAATTGTTGTCTCTGCTGAGACCACACAGAACTTTGCTGAAACTTATGCTTAGTGCTCCTTCTATTTTCAGCCATGATTAGCCGTGTCTGACTCTGCATCCCATACAAACCGTGGTCTCTCACAGGAGGCATACAGCAGTCACATCAAGGCCCAATCTCCAATTTCTGCATTGACAGCAACATAATATTGTTGCCTTTATTTTTTCATTTTATTTCTCACAGCTTTGGGTTTAATTTTTCAAATAAGAAAAATGCCTTATGCAAAAAGATGTCCTATTTGACCAATCGTAGTGTCTACGTCTGTTTTCTTTCCAGCCCCTTCTACCAGATCTACCAATCCATTTCCTTTTGAGCTCCTTCTACCCTCACCAGAGGTAAGCACAGTTTTGAGCAGATAATATCTGTCATTCCTTTTCTTCTCGAGAATCAATATGACATACTGAGTGATTAGCCCAACCAAACTCCAGAGACAGGCTGAGTAGATTGAAATTTTAGCAGTGTACATGCTGTGCAGCCTTGGGCAAATTGTCTTACCTCTCTCTGCTTCATTCTTTTCTTTCCTAAACTATGAGTGGAAATAGGGACAGCATAAAGGATTACTAAAATTGCCAAGTGACATGATATAAATAGGCACAGCATCACGGACCAATCCAACGTATTTGCTACTTCTATCATGACACACAATGCACCCACGAGTTGGTTATCTATAAACTACTTTTTGTCTTAACCAAGAAGGTATTTTACATTCTCAAATCCGATTTTCTAGAAACCAAAGAGGGGGAATTCTGACCTTCGGCAAGCGTTCCGGATCACCAGGATGCCGGGGGATGACCTTCTGTAACCTCTGGAAACCATAGTCGATGGTGGGTTCATTGAGGGCTGTAAGGAAGAAGTCAGAGGATTTGAACATTTTGGGAAATACAGCGTTGTTTGCAGCACAGATGGCAGAGACATAACCCTTAGCATTTAGTTGATACTCTTGAGTCCCTCATAGAGATTTCCTCTATGTCGGGCACTTCCACCATCTATTATATTTACTGTGGAGGGGGCTGACTCTTGACAAAACATCAGTAGCGAGTGAGTCTAAGAACACAACTCCTCGGGCAGAATCTTTTACACCCTTTACATGATCCTAACTGAAAAGTAGAATGGACTTTGCTTCAAGGTTTTAGGATTCACCTCCTCATTGCAGATAAGCTGGGTAAAAAGTCAAGAGCTTGTCTAAAGGTACCTATATATTCTAAATAGCAGGGAACCACCCAGAGATCTGTTATGCCTCCTATAGAGACTCAGTAGATCCAATAGCTGAGCATTTTCTATGCAGTGAACATGCCCATGGGCAGAGCAGTGTGAGGGGCATGTCTCTGAAACCTTTGAAAGAATCTACAGAGACAAGTATTTAACGTGCTCTTGATTCAAAATCTTCCCATCTTGAATGACAGACCCACTCACAGCATTGATATTATGTGAAAGAGAGGAAAAAGAAAAAAAAAAAAAACCTCTGTGGAAAACTAGCTTAGCCCAGCTGGGTCTCTAAGAACGTTTTACTAAAAGACTCAGAGAACCAACTGCAATAATAACGTTTGGAGACAATGGACCGCATTGTGTCCTGTTGGACACATTCTCTTAAGCTCGACCAAATAGAAACTAGAATCTATGCTATCGTTTTCAGAATTCCTTCCTAGGATACAAACCATCTTGAGCCTATCTAGTCTGAGAAAGTAGGAGAGACGGCAAGACTCTCCTCCACACATACTCCTAGTATTCGGAGCAATAAGTAGGCAGTAGGATTTTATTATTTTTTGTACAATTCCTTTTCTTTTCTTTCTTTGTTTAACTAAGGTATTTCACTGCATATAAAAGACAGCCTCTCTAGCCTCTCTAGCCCTAACATTTTATCTATACATTAAAAAACAAGTTGTCTCATGCTGTACTTAAAATGCATTTCCATTAACCTAAATTTCAAAAGTAAGATTCGTACTAACTTTAAAAAACTGTATTACATTCAAATAGGTCCCAAGGCTAATGGAAGCAATTTGTATACCAACCCAAACTGACTGGCCCACTTTTCAAAATACAGGTATGATAATCTCTCGGTTTTAAAAGGACATTTAAATTGAAAGACTGTGAATTTAGAACATAATTATACCAATAGAACCCTTTAACTTGTCAACTTGTAAATCTAAAAGGCTATCAATCATTGCTAAAGAGGAAATAAACCTTAAAATTCCTTGATTGACAGTGCTTACTTTTTATGTAAGAAAAAAAAAGGGGGGAGCTGAATAAAGTGGCCAGAAATCCATTTACAAAAGTACATTGTTTTACATAGGTTAGTAAAAAGCCAGTCACTATTTCTCCCGAAGACACATAAATCAGAGGAAGTACTTTTACTTCACTTGGATGTTTTAAGTCAGAATGAACTTCAAGTAACTTTATTTAGAGTTTTTTCCCCTTCCCAAACTATAGTGCCTATCCCAGTCATTAATAGAGCTGCATTTTCATGTTGGATAATGAAATCTTTTTTTTTTCAAATATGAGATTTAGGCAGCTCTCCCCTCCCCCACTCCTTTGCCCAGGAAACCTTCCATCTGTCTCTTGTGGAAATTAGCAAAAATTACACCCAGGTATAGTGAATCTCTCTGTTCTAGTTTATGAGTTAAGGCACGATATTTATTATTTATTTTATTTTATAAATTCTTTCTAGGTCCTTGAGAAGAATTCTTCAGATTGACTTGCAGAGAAAAAAATCCATGGAGCTCTTTATGCCCATAGAATCTGTGGTATTTGATCGAGAAATGCATCAGAGAGACAGTTGGACACTGGGAGTTAAGCTATATATTGTATCTAGCACTCCACCCATAGGGCTAACTGCCAGCAAAATATTTAACCATAAACGGTAGCTTTAGACAATTAAGAGTATCACACCCAGTTCCTGAAAACATAATTCAGCATCCTAGAGTTTTACCTTTCCAGTCTAAAGCACCAATAACACGAGAGGTGCGGATCTGCCCATTTCATCATTCGTATAATGAATTCCCAGTGTGTCTAGAAACCCAGGCTGCTCATTGCAAAGCTTTTATGCTGGGGTCGGGAGAACGTGATTTTCTGGCTATCAGGTCACGGAATGACTGACACTTAATATCAGCAATTAAAAGAATCGATTCAAACATCATATGGAAGTAATAGCAAAAGAGCTGAGAAGAAGTCATTCTGTTGCCGTGAAGAGTAATTGGATTAGACATATTAAACTCATTACTCAAACAAAAATAAGCATCTACGCTATGGACATAAACTATGACAGAGGGGATATTTTAAATAGTGAGCCACGGCGAAGGCTTCTTATTTATTTCTGGTGCTTTTAGGATTTGCCTCCTACTAGCATTTTCAAGTGTGTGGACTTGCACTCCGAATCTCAGGAGCGAGCAGGACAGTGGAATGTTGCAGCACTACAGACATTATTACCATTAAGGCCCTGTAAGATGAACATGCTACCCCTTGAAACTCAAAGGAGCCTGCAAGACTTTTCTGAGCAGGGAAAAATAGTCATGAGTGAGAGGGACCATCTAATTAGGATTGGCAGTTTGGGTAGTTCTTAAAACAGACACAGCTCTCCCCATGGAAAGGAGATTAAATATCCGGGAAGAGGACATGGAACTGAGTTCACTGTAGAGAGAAGCAGAAGAGGGGCAAAGTAGTAAATAGAACTGAATAGGATCCCGGTTTCAGAATCAGTGTCATGTGACCAACCACTTACTGACTTTTCTAGTGTTAGGTTTAAAAGACTACAGGGGCGGGCGTGTATATTATGATGACTTTTCAAGATTCACGTTTGTTTATGTGTGAGTGCCTCTATATAGGTATGTGTGTTTGGTGTCCAAGGAACCCAGAAGGGGGCACTGGCTCCCCTGGTACTTGAGTTATAGGTGGCTGTGGTAAGAGCATCAAGTGCTCTTAGCCACTGAGCAGTGTCTCTGGTGACATTTTAATGAATGAATGCATCGTCAACCTACCTGCCTTCTTACCTATGTGTGTAACAAACAGCATCTAGACACAGTCGGATGAATATTAGTTGTTTCTAAAACCCATGCCTCCTAAAATGCTTCTCCCCTCTGTGCCTGGCTCATTCTCTGTTTTTAAACCTCCCACCTTCCCCTCCCCCACAAAAAGCATATATTACTTTTATAATCAGAGAAAAAGGTTAAAAGCAAGAGATTGTTGCCGAGATGGAATCTGAGCTGCTTGTATAAAGTAATGACATAAGGAACTATGCCTTAAAAGGGGGTCTGTGTACCTTTAATAACCTTGCATAGGTTATTACAAACCAGAAGAAAAATAAGTAGTATACTTTTGCCCAGTTGTATAAATATGTGACTATACATAAACTCCGAGAAAATCAACAGAGGGTAATGGGGGGAGAATCATAAAGAAGGTATATTTATTTCATCAGCAGGGGTAGTGGTACCTTAGGGACATGCATCTACCCTGCAAGAATGTAATATAAAGTTAATTCTTCAACAAAGTGACCTCATTGTACTCGAGTGCAGGGCTCAGGGGCGGCTGCAGAAAAGGACTAATCAATTCCCCCCCACACACACAAACTTGGGACAATTCCGAGAATCTGGTAGAGAAAGAAAATCCAGAGCAGGTTAACTGAGCATAATTAGCAGCATAAAGAGGCAAGAGTGACTTAAGTTCAAAGAAGAGAAACAGAGGAGGCTGTGAACCTCAGAAGGCGTGGGGTGGCAAGAGTGACCCTTTGGGCTCTGCTTCCAAGCATCTCACCTTCACCCTGAGAAGGATTTCAGATACTTTCACCCCTGAATCAGGTAAGGATGAAGAAGACTCACGGGTTTAGGGGGGAATGTTTTTTGTCCCAAAAAAGAAATAACTCAGTGCTTAAACTCTCGGGATATAATAGGACCAATTGTATGCTTTTTTTTTTTTTTTTTGAGACAAGGTTTCAGTGTGGCCTTGGTTGTCCTAGAACTCTCTCTGTAGACCAGGTTGGCCTCGAACTCAGAGATGTGCCTGCCTCTGCCTCCTGAGTGCTAGTACAAAAACGTGCGCTACAACTGCCTGGCTTAGCCTATGCGCTTTCTAAAATGCTGAAAGATAGATAGAGGTCCCGTCATCATGTGTTTGTAGCGGTGACCACATCTCTAGGTAGGAATTAGCCATTTTGTGTCACAACTTCTTAAGCTTTTAAAAATAAATTTTGTGCAAAAAGTGCTTAACCCAAAGGACAGATGAAAACACTTGAATTGTAGAGTCAGAGCCACGCTTGGTCTCTCTTGGTTAAGCTTCCCTTCTTATTCCAAAGTCCACTGCCGTGTCTGCCAGATGGAAACCGCTTTGAACAGCGTCTTGTGAAAGGTGGCAGAGAGGGAACCAGGCTCCTGAGAGCGGCTATTGAATTGAGATGTCTTCCACTGACCCTTCCAACTTATTTTCTAGTAGCCCTGCATTCCGTGGCTATAGGCGTCACAAAGCTCTGTTCAGCATGCCAAGGGCAGTCTGAAACTTTCTTGCAAACACATAAAAGGCAAGGTCAAGCGCTCTACTCAGGCGCTCCAGGTTGCAGGGCAAATGCAAGGCCTGAGGGGTCAGGGGACCCTTGCATCCCCAGCTGTGATGCGCGTGGCACTGGGAATGGACATGGGAAGGAGCACACACTCTACCACTACGGTTCTTACGTCATCTTCAGCAAAGCTATTTCTTTTGAAAGAGGAAAAAAAAAAAACCCACCCAGTTAATTAAACAGTTAAAAATACCAAGCCATTTCATCTGGCTGCATTGGGCTACTTACAAATGCCTTTAGGTTCCTCCCCCGACTCATCAGCTCAAACTCCTGCAAAGGGAACTAACTAATAACTTTCCAT